TCCGCGATCACCCTCAGTCACTGTGGTCACTGCGCCCACTGTGCCCACCAGGCACCTTCCCCGTGCCGTCCTGCTGTGGGGGAGCACTCGGGGGTTCACATTCACGTCCACACAGGAGATGCACAGGTGCCCGGCAGAGAGGGCGCGATGAGGCCCTGTGTGGCTACAGAGGGCCCAGGCCAGGCCTGCCCCGCTTTGCAGCTAGGTTTGGCGATGTTTTCATTTTGGATGACATGATTGGGAGCCATAGTCTCGGGGTCCTAGGACCTGACAACGGCCTACACTGCACACCCTCTGTCCTGGGCTGGCAGCCTCTGTCCACTACCTCTAGGGGCCAGCGGGAGTTGAGAATTGTGGGGTTTGAGGAGGGGGCCCCATGGGGGCAGCCCCCTGACTCTCTAGGCCCAGGTTGCTCTGGCCCTGGTGACCCCCTGGGTGGCGAACACGGTCTGAGGGAGGAGGCCTGGCTAACCTTAGTGTCCCCCAGCCTGGCACCTCTTCCCACTCCTGCCCAGCCAGGCTTCCTGCCAGGGCTCGGGCGCCCCCTGCTGGACACGCAGAGAGAGAGAGTGAGAGAGAGTGGGACGTGCATCTCAAAGCTCCTCAGAGAAGGGGTGGCCCTGGGACAGGATGGGGTGGAGCAGGGCAGGGAAACACCTCTGCCTGGGGGTCTCTAGGCATGTTCACATGTACCCACCCCCTCTCCCAGTCAGACAAGATCCCGGCCTTGGGACAGGAAGCGCCCAGTGGTGGAGTTTGCCTGCCCCAGGACGAAGGTGGGCGGAGCAGGGCAGAGGGCTGTAGGACGTTGAGGGCCCACCAAGGGCAGCGGGATGGAGGCAGGAGCCCTCGGACTGAGGCTCCTTCCCTCCGTCGCACCCCCTGCCTATGCTGTGTTTCCACTGTTGACTGCTCCTCCTGAAAATGACTCAGGGGACAAGGGACATCAGATGCATTCCCCCCAAGGGCTGAGGGCTCTGTGATGCCCACATGCTGGGGGGACAGGAGGGAGCAGGGGGCCTCCCTGGCAGATGGGACACCTAGCGGGGGCCACATGACCCCTGGCCTGGGAGTCCAAAGCCCAGATGTCCCAGCCCAGGGCAGGGTGGCAGGAGCTGCAGGGCCCACCTGGCCTCCTCTGCTCCTACTTGCCTGAGGACAAGGGGACACCAAGGCCAGTCAGTGAAGCTCACCCCAGTGGCCAGGGCCCAGCCAGGGCATGCCAGCTGCACAGAGGAAAGCCACACAGGGAGAATGTGGGTTTTTAATTCGTTTTATTGAAGAAAAGAAAGGGAGAGAAAAAATAGATTCCCCCCTGCTTCTTCCTGGAGGGGGCTCAGTCCTGCCCCTGGGGGCTGCACGGGTCAGAGGGCTGTGCTCTCCGCCTGGGTCTGGGGGCCCAGGGCCCTGAAAGGTGTAGGGGCTGGCTGCTTCCCGAGGGGTGGGGGTGTCTAAAAAACGGTGCCAGGCCGGCTGGGCCAAGCAGCAGCCGCTCGGGCGGGCATCCTGGGGACGCTGGCCACGCTGGGCCCGTCCATTGTCCGCGGCCGCCGGCCCGCCTGCCCACCGGGGTTCGGCCCGAGGAGGGCAGAGTCTGAGGCACCTTCAGCCTCTGGAGCCCTGTGACTGGCCTGGCCGCCGCCTCCTGTCCTCCATCTGGCTCTGGTCCCAGCACTGCGGGCCCTCTGCCTGGCCGCTGCCGTCCGAGCGCCCTGAGGCTGGGGCGCGGGCTGGCCCGCCGCCCACGAGCGTGTCTGTGCCCGTCCTGTGGCACGAGCGGGCAGAGCAGCATCCCTCCTCCGTGGCCCAGTGCGTGGCCGCCGCCCGCCCGCTCAGACCTCGGTCTGGAGGTCGATGATGTCCTGGCCCACCAGCGGGATCGTGGCACCCGACTTCTCCCACTCCACGCTCCGCAGCTCCATCGGCGATGGCGGCAGTGGCTCCAGCTCCTTCTTCACCCACGTGGGTGTCCCGTGAGCTTTCCGAAGGCTCTCCCAGGGCCGCTTGTTGGGCGTCTGCTGTTTTTCTGGCTGCTAGCGTCCCGGCGGTGGGTGAGCGGGAGAGAAGGGAGGCAGACAGGAACCATGAGAGTGAGGAGGGACCAGAGCCGGCGGGAGGACCACAGGGGAGGCCAGAGCAGAGGGGCAGCAGCGTGAGTACATCGCCCCCCAGACTCTGCCAGGGGTGCAGCTCCTAGGACTGGGGTAGGGTCTGGGGGGATTGCAGGGAAGGGCAGCCTGGAGGCCCCGCCCCCGTCCAGCCCCCTGGGCCCTGGCGCGGGCTCCTGCCCACTCAGCACCTCCTGCCCCAGCCCTGGCGTGGCAATGGGCACCGTGTGCCTTCCTGCCCCGCCACACCTGCGTGCCCTGCTCTCCTAGCATGGCTGGCACAGGCCCGTCCTCAGGAAAGGTGGAATGAATGAGAGTGAGCGCATGAGAGTGGGAGTGGCAGAAGTGGGGGAAGAGGGGAGAAGACAGCCTGACCCAAGGGATCCCTGACCCGTCCCCTGCCCTCCAGACCTTGGTGTCCGGGCCCAGCACCTCCTTGTCCTTCTCTGCGGCGTGCTGCAACTTCCGGTTCAGGTCCTGGAACATGTCCTGGTGCCTCTTCCGGGTGTGCATGATCTTCTGCAGGTGGCAGGGGTGGGGGTGGGGATGGGGGACTGGCAGTGAGTCCTGAGCCAGGAGGGGGGCACCGGCCTGTCTGCCCTGCCCACCCTGCCCCTGGCCCCTGGGGACTCGGCCCTCAGCCCTTCCACATCCTGTCTCCCCTCCCCTCTGCGCCTGCTGGAGTGGCCCGAGCTGCCTGGCCGTAGGGGGTCACAGCAGGTCTGGCCCCAAGTGTCTGGGGAGGCGACTTCAGGACCCACCTCGAAGTCCAGTTCTGCATACCGAGACTTCCGCCGCTGCGGGGAGAAGGGGCTTGTGAGCATCTGCAAAGCGCTCCCTGAAGTCTCCCAGACCACAAGTCCAGGCCTCCCCTTGCCCGAGAGTGGAGACCAGAGTCCCCCTGACCCTTCGCCTGCCTTTGGGAGACCTGGGGACGTGCGTTCGGGGTGGACGCCAGGTGCCCAGGCTCCAGTGCAGGCTCCCTTCCCCGGAGACACGGGGAGCCCAGCTGAGGGCTGGGGGCACAGGATGGGGCCGCTGGGGCTGCAGGAAAGGGGTCAAAAGCCAAGGCCCCCAGTGACAGGGACAGGTGGCAAATGTGCCTCCCAGAGCAGTGCCCTCCTCCCCAGGCCAGTCTGAGGTCCTCCTGGGCCAGGTGAGCCACAGAAGCCCTCACCCTTCTCCCCTTCCAGCTCAAAGGCACCTGCCTGCCCCTGGGCTGCCCCCCGTTGTGAGGCAGCCTCCCCTCTGCCCCAGCTACACACTGGGTGTCAGAGACCAGCACCAGGACTGGGCAAGGGTCCGGCTTGGCCTGCCCAGGACATGCTCGCCAGGGCTACGGAGACCTGGATGCAGGGCCACGTGCTGGTCCCTGACAGAGAACTTGGGAACACAGAGCGGCATCACCAGAGGCTGAGAGCCAGGAGGTGAAAGCATGTCCTGGGGGGCCTGGGGGCTCCCCATGGTGCCGCCTCGTCTCTGAGCCCCACGTCCTGCAGGCTGGGTGAGGCTCAGGGCTGCTGCAGGCTTCGGGTCATGCACACAGGCTTGCTGCCCTGGCCGCCCAATGGGCTAGACTCGCTCCCCACACAGGTGCACACTCGGCTCGGGAGGCCCTTGAGCCCCTCTGACATGGGGTGAGACCACCCCACCCCTCTGGGCCTGGGGTGGGGGCCACATTACAACAGGCATTTCCAGAGCGTGCTGCACGCAGGCTCCTCATGCTGAGGGCCCCGCAGGGCCTGGGAGCCGGGCTGGAAGGCAGAGAGTGTGCACTTGCATCCCAGGCCAGGCCCAGCCACCAGCGAGCCCCACGTATGCCTGTGCCCCTTCTTATTGGCAGGCATGACCCTGGCTGCCACAGGCAAAACTCGCAGCGGCCCCACCTGCCCTGCTGGCCGGGTCCACCCACCGCCCTGCCCCTCACCTCCAGGGAGCTCACGGACAAGGTGGAGACATTCTCGTTCTTGGTCCCCGCCCCTGAGCTGGGTCCTGGGTGGGCCGCAGGCTCCCCTGCTTCCCCCAGGCTGGGGGCTGCAGGCTCCAGGGTGGGTGGTGGGGGCAGGGGCTGCTGGGGTG